CGGGTGGAATGTGCTTTCAACTGTAAATAACTCCATACATGGCTAAAGCTAAGGATCTGGCTTGTTTCTGTGTACCTGGGCCTATCCGTATTTCCCACATGGCTTGCTGGAGTTGGCTACCCAGAGGCTATTTTAGGTGTGGGCTGGCTTTCCCCAGGTCAGAAGATTATTCAAGGTTTCCTGAATAAACTGCAATTGAGAAGAGTCTGGTGTTGCGTTTTCTTTGCTGGCCAAAGCTACGCTACAGGTGGTGTCGCGGGAGCTGCTTGTCAAGGACCCAGAACTCATTGCAGTCAGGGGCAGTGCACTGGAATAGTCCTCAGGTAAGCTGGGGATCCTGTGATCATAGCAGGGGCAATAGTTCCCAGGTGAATGGGAATCCTACAACTAAAGTAGGATTAAATAATTGCTTTCCCTGTAAATAAAGGGAAAGTGACTGCTATTAAAGCAGGATTAATTAATAGCTTTCTCTGTAAATAAAGAGAAAGTGACTGCTGTTAAAAAGCAGGATTAATTAATTGCTTTCTCTGAAAATAAAGAGAAAGCGACTGCTGTTAAAGCAGGATTAATTAATAGCTTTCTCGGTAATTAAAGAGAAAGCAACCGCGGCAGAGCAGGGGTTAATTGCTTTTCCCTGGAAATAAAGGGGGAGCAACAGCCTATCAAAGCAGGAAATGTATCGCTCAGTTCCGTAAATAAGGAATGAGCAAAGAGCAGTTTCGCAAGTCGCAAGTTGACGAAAAGAAAGTAAAAGAAATATAAATCAAATATGGGCACTTCACAATCGCACCCACTCCTTTTGGCTCTTAACGAGCTGTTACTTTCAAAGAACTTGAAAATAAAACAAAGCACTCTAAGGAGGTTCTTAAGTGAATGCAATACTATCGCACCTTGGTTTGTGGAGTCAGGGAGTCTCTCGATATCATCTTGGAATAAACTAGGCAGAGACCTTGATTTTTCATTTGAGCAAGGGACGCTTAAGGGAGGGGTCAGGCCAGTGTGTAAGCTGGTTAGAAACTTCTTGAAGACCAGCGTTGCAGTAAAGCGGTAGAAAATGGACAGGCAGCACTGGAAATGTTACAAGAGGAAAGATCAGAAAAGTCAGAAAAGGAAAGCAGTAAAAGGAACCATCAGAAGCAGGGAGAGTTATACCCAGACCTTTCTGAGTTAAGAGTCAGATAAGCAAATGCAGGCAATCGTCAGAAAATTGCAAAAGGCAAGACTGAGAAAGAGGGTGAGAAAAAAGAAGAAAGGAGGTTCAAAAGCGCTGACACTTTGCCCCATAACACTCCCCACCCTCCACCTTTTGTGGGAGGAGGTCAGGGCAGCTCAGGACGCACATTTTATCTAGGCGTTTGGAAAGTGGTGAGAACTGAGCTACGATTAGCATATCTAATGTTTCAAGGTCCGCAAGAAAATAAGTATGAAGAGCCTCTGGTTTTTTAAAGTGATTAAATCTTTGGCTGAATCTGTAACTTGTGGGATTACAGTCTCTTTTACTGTGGCGCAGGTAGAAGCCCTGAATAGGTACTGCATGACACCTAGTGATTGAAGTGGGCCTGCTCGTGCATGCCTGAGCCCTGGACAGTACTCAGATGGGAGAGCCTTTTTGATTGAGTTTGCTAGCGAGCAGGCTGCAGCTGATCAAGCAGCTGGAAATCCAGCGTGGGACAGAGATATGCTGCTCGGACTTGGAACAGGCCTATGTGGAGTTAATTAAATAGCTTGAAAAGAAGGGATTGTTATAGCCCTGATAAGGTACAAAAGGAAAAAATCGTAAATTATTTAGGAGCACGAATTTGTGAGAAGCAAATTATTCCACAAAAGGTAGAATTGAGAAAAGATAATTTAAAGACCTTGAATGACTTTCAAAAGCTGTTAGGCGATATAAATTGGCTTAGATGTTATTTGAAGTTGCCAAATTATGAGTTAAAGCCCTTATATGATATTTTAAATGGAGATTCTGCTTTGAATTCTCCAAGGCAACTGACTAATGAAGCACGTGAGGCATTGAAAAAAGTGGAAAGTAGATTACAAGATGCCTTTCTGCAGAGGATTCAAGAGGGCCAAGACATTGTTTTGTGCATTCTGCCTTCATATCACCAGCCTACAGGATTGTAATGGCAAAATGGGCCACTGCTTTGGATTTATCCCAAAATATCTCAAGCCAAAGCTCTTGAGCATTATCCTACTGCTGTGGCAACTTTAGCACTGAAAGGGATTCAGCAGTGTTTACAATATTTTGGAACTGCCCCCACCTCCATTATAGTGCCTTATTCCAGCCATCAAGTTAAGATCTTGTGTGCTACGATAGATGATTGGGCTATTTTGCAGTGTGGTTTTGATGGCAACATAGATAATCATTATCCCAGACATCCACTGTTAGGATTTTTTAAGGAGCATCCTGTAATATTTCCTAAAATAATATCATCATAGCCTATTTCCATGGCCCCAAATGTATTTACAGACGGATCTAAGACAGGCTATGGGATGTATATGATAGATAAACAAGAACCTGTGCTGCATCAGTTTCAACCTGGTTCTCCTCAGGTTGTAGAATTACAGATTGTAGTTGAAGTTTTTAAAGTTTGCCCTTTTGCATTTAATCTAATATTGGATTCTGCATATGTTGTTAATGCCCTTAGAATTTTAGAAGTAGCTGAACCTATTAAAAGTTTCAGTCCAGTGTGCCTTTTATTTCAGCAATTGCAACATTTAATCTGGCAGAAAAAAAATTGCTTTTACATCCAGCATGTTAGAGCACATACAGGTCTGCCAGGACCTTTGAGTGAAGGAAATGATATAGTTGATCAATGGACTAAAATGGAATATTTATTCATGAGTTCTACCTTGGAGAAGGCAAGAGCATTTCATAAAACTTTTCATGTCAATGCTAAAGCATTACAACAAAAATTTCATCTCTCTCAAGCAGATGCTCGGCAGGTAATTTTAGATTGCTCTCAATGTGTGACTCATCAACATCCACCCAGTATTGGAGTAAATCCACGGGGTCTACTCCCTCTAAAAATCTGGCAAATGGATGTGACACAT